CTACATTTTTTAAACATAAAAAAAAATACCAAAAAACTATTGAGCTGCTCAGATATGCAAACGAGAATTCGTCCTACATATTGTTCTTAAAAGCAAAAAAAAATTGAGGCATGCGAAAACGACATAGGAGAACATGACTCACCTTTGACGGCGTTCAGCTTATTGCCGACCATCTGTTTCGCCACGAAGGCCGCCATGGTGGTGGACCGCTGTTGCTACTACGGCAGTGGTGGGGGGAGGTGAGGGGGGCTGGCGCGCCCGTGCGTCCTCACGTACTACAGCGGCGTGGGCCGGCGCGGTGCAGCAGGCCGGGCGCGTAGAGGTCCGACAGGGGCCGACAGGGCACTGGAACAGAACACAGGGCGTGAGCGGCGTGAGCGGCGTGAGCTGGGCCCGCCCCTACGCCACCCCCTCGTACCCCCTCCCCTCGGCGCTGCCAACCCACAACACCAAACATGCTCTACATTCTGCACCAGGTGGCGGCCAGTGACGTCACAGCGGTCCCTTCCCTCCCCCTCTTCGCTCGTTCTCTGTCTCTCCACCTCTCTCTCCCAGAACCAATCACGGGGGTCGCGAGGGGGAAGCGCCCGCCCGTGTCGTGCCGTCCATCTCAGCCGCGCTCCGCTACGCTCCGCCACGCCACGCCGCGGGTCGTGCTATTTCACTTTTCCTTTCACCTGCGCGGCACAAAAGCCGACCAATCAGATTATAGCGCTGCAATAAAAAGACGACTGGCTGTGTGCCCTTTTATGGAAGGGTTCAACAAACACAGATAGTCCCTATATACAGCATTTTTCTTTGTTTCTGGTCAGGACGGCGAAAAAATAGGTACAAGATGAATTATTTTCATCCTGAAAAAAGTGTTAACTCTTGCTGTGAGAAGAGCTTATTCTTTTTGGTGAGTGACCGGGCGTTTACTTGTTTGGTTTCTGCTCCGCACGCGCGCCCATCATCCATGCAGACAAATACTAAATCTGGGATGATGCGAATCAGGCGGGGGCGGCGGCCGTATCCGGAACGCAAATATTGCCGCATCAGAAAACATCATTAATATACCATTTGCGTGCGAGATAAGGGAATATGGGGCTGTTTGCCGTCGGGTCAGCACCAGACACACAACGTACTATACCATGCGTTATTTGTTTTGTTCTCGTTGCTCCTTTTCGCCTGTATTCGCGAGTAAACTTGCACACGGATTTGCGAAACATTTGTCGATTCATCCAGAAAAATGCCAGCTGCGTCCTTTCCAACACAAAGAAAAAAAATCTGATAAGCAGCAGCTCATAACGTGCGTATCATATACGCAATGACAAAAACAACGGTATACTTGACGAAAGTTTCATTTTTGAAAGAGGGTAGAGCTTTTAAACCAAACTTAACTTTACTCAACAAAAACTGAACAAAAATGGTAATAAACACGAAACATGTTTCCGTTGCTAATGTTTTACACTATCTGTGTTGTTTACTACCCACATTTTTGTATTTTCTTTGTCTCCTATCCCATGCATCAATCAAAAAGAATTAAGAAGAAACAAAACTACATGGCATAGCAAATAAAATCCTAGCATAAAAAAAAATATTTATATGTCTGGTTAGCCAAAACCATTAGGACGAAGGCAATTACTTTTACCTTTTCGAGTCGAAAAGTGCAGAAAAAAATCCATTTCGCTGCTAGGTGGGCTGCACACCTGACCACTCAAAGCTCGAAGCAGCGAACGAAAGGAAGGGGGGAGCTTTCTCCCCCTGCGGGTGATACGTAGAGGGGAGGAAGGGGTGGCTGGCTCGAGAAGTAATAACCCCGCCAGCCGTATAAACCTGAGAGGGACTGAACCAGCCGAGTTGAGTATGCACGCACACGGACGACGGGGCAATGGGAGGTTCTCGGGGACAATTTTTGCTAGATTTATGAAGAAGACTTGAAGATCGTCGCGCCTCAGGTACCATCTTTCTTTGAATGGCGCGCGAGCTCTAGCTGCTTTTGAACGATTTCGTACACATGTACTCATAACACTCGCACTGTAGACGATTGTACTCGTTGCTGTGTACCGCGAAGGGGGCCAATGAAGCGCGAGGGAACAGAGGAAGAGAAGGGGAGTGAGTATGGGGTGGTCGTGGAGGGGACCAGTCGTCGGTACTGGCGCGGCAACACGAGGCCCTGAAGGCTGAAGTGGGCTGGGGCCTCTACCAACCCTTCTCTTTGTCCCCGTCCCTCCCCCTGCTCTCTCTCTCTCTCTCTCTCTCTCTCTCTCTCTCTCTCTCTCTCTCTTCGCCTACTCCTCTCTCCCATTAACAGGGGCCAAAGGGCCTGCCGAGGATGCATCAGGACGAAGGACGGCCCGGGTAAATTGAAAACAATGTTCCAAGAGGCAAAGAGGCGAGTAAAAAGCGGCCAAAGCGATGCGGTGTCACAAGCCGCCGCTCAGGACCCCCC